TAGAAAATGGAGATTGAAGAGTTGAAATGGCACTTCAAGGTCACACATTGGTTAGTGCCAGAATCAGATATTGAAGTTCCTTTGATTTTAGATTTTTCGTGGAATTGCTCTACTATGTATGTTATTTTATTTGCCTGAGCCTCATTTCTCTGTGTGTAGCATGGAAAGAAAACTGTATCCCTTCTTTATATGTTCTTGGGAGAGCTTAATGCATAACATACAGGAAGGGACAAGTATAGTGTCTGATACATGATAATCATAGCAATGGTACTAATTCTTCTTTTTTAGAATATGTTAGAATATGAATTTGAAATTGACTTTGGAGATAAATAAAGTGAAGATTATTGTAGAAATTCTAATCGATTCTAAAAAACTAGCTGGCTTCTACTGTCTGTACTGGAAAGGCAGAATCTCTTATCTATGGACTTTAAATTTTATATAACTATATGCCTTATACTTTCTGAATACTCAATTTAGATCTGTTATTATGTATTATTCTATTACTTTAATTCTGTTTATACTGGTATAAACTGTAGTGTATGAACAATGGGGACTTAATCTAAGGCATAAACTTTCCTGTATTAGAGGGGTTTTATATTACATGCAGTTATCTGTTTTTCTGTTTCTCAACAGACTGCAGATTTTCAAGGGCATTAGTCATATCTCCATTTTCTATAAAACTGGATATGACTAATGGTTATCCATTTTTCTCTAGAGTCTTTTGAGTGCTTGGTTCATAATAGGTGGTTAATAAATGAGCTTTACCTGAAGAAAGAAATAATTGAATGAATGAAAGGCAATCCTAAAATGTCTTGTGACATTATATTTGGGGCTATCCGAGGTCCTACTCATTTAACAAGGACTATCATGACATTACTCTTACTAAATTCTCTAAGGCTTTATTAAACAATTATACCTACTAGAATTAGATGCTGCATATTGCAGGTGAAAATCAGTTACTCGGCCGGGCGCGGTGGCTCACGCCTGTAATCCCAGCACTTTGGGAGGCCGAGGTGGGTGGATCATGAGGTCAAGAGATCAAGACCATCTTGGTCAACATGGTGAGACCCCATCTCTACTAAAGATACAAAAAATTAGCTGGGCAGGGTGGCGCTTGCCTGTAATCCCAGCTGCTTGGGAGGCTGAGGCAGGAGAATTGCCTTAACCCAGGAGGCGGAGGTTGCAGTGAGCTGAGATTGCGCCATTGCACTCCAGCCTGGGTCACAAGAGCGAAACTCTGTCTCAAAAAAAAAAAAAAGAAAATCAGTTACTCAACTGATTGAAAGTCAATAGTTCGAATAGCTCATATCACAAAAGAATAACAATAATAATTCTCTTTTTTGTTAAAAAATAACCCATACCACCCTCCTTCCTCCAGCTCTGGAGGGGGACTAGGATCTGTCTATTTCATTTGACTTAGGGAGCTGTTTCTCAAAGAGATACTAGGAGGCTCAGAATGTCTTTGCTTCTCTTACATGAGCTACAACATGAGCACATCAGGAAACAGATTCCGAGTGCTCCAATGCCATGCCCCTGCTGAGACAGAAGATAATAACATTCAGTGTTGCGGTTTCAGTCATTCCTGAGGCTGGACCATCTTGCTAGGAACTCACACAGTAACAGGGTTTAGAGAATTTCCAGTTCTTAGAGCCACCTCCCTGTTTAGGACTCTTTTTCACTTCTCCTGCAATCAGGAGGATTCTGCTCTGAATCACACTTAGACTGTCCACTGTGAAAATATGAAAAGATGACAAGTTATACTATATTCAGACATAAGATTAAAAAAAGCCTCTTCACATAAAGGGATAACAGAAATGTATTTCAGGAAGCTAGTGTGCTTTGGGCAAGTATATTCTCATTCCTTTCCCAGAGTGAGGGTTGAGGGAGGAGGGCAAAAGTAAAGGAGCATCTGTCTAAGGCCCTGCTAATGTTACAGTTCAGAAAATGTGCTCTGCTCTGCTTCAACTGTAAACATTGTGAAATGCATTCTTTCTCCACCAGGCAACTTGGCTCTGGGGTAATCATCCCAGGCATGGATTCATAGAGTACTCGACATTCTACATTTTTATTACAGAAAACAGACAAATGAAATGTGGGATGACACTCTTGGTTTTCTGTGGTTGTTTGAGCTCCCCTCAGCCCCTTCCTGGAACTGGTTGTTCAGTAATGGCTACAGAAGAGTCCCAGATGCTTGCAGAGTAAATGTGATGCTTGGCTTTGACTCCTGGAAGCAATGGGGGGTGGAGTGGGGATGAATTTCCAAAAAAAGCCTTATTTATTGACCCTAAAAATACCTATGAAAGCCTCGCCTACATAGAGTTAACCTTTCTCTAGCCCTTCCATTCAATTCCTGAGTAAGCAAATTTGGATTAACTACTCCAAACCCTTACTTAGAAACTATTTCCATCACAGTGATCTGCTCTCTGACATATTTTCTCTTAATGTTCATTTTAAACTTATTCCTCATGGATAAATATTATGTGTGCATGTGTGTCTATATTTATATGAACAAATGTGAAGTTGGAAAAAAGATACCAAGGCCTTGTGAATTTTGGCCTCTCTTTTCATATGTCTCTAGGCCTTTTCTACTCCCTCAGGGAAAGCTTGAGTACTGCATGTCTCCTCTCATCTCTCTCTCTCTGTCTCGTGTGTGTGTGTGTGTGTGTGTGTGAGAGAGAGAGAGAGAGAGAGAGAGCGAGCGAGAGAGAGAGTCTGTTTTTATATAGTGCTAAAGAAATGAGAATGAAGAGATATTAGGAAGGCAAGATTATTTGTTCCAATTAACTCTGCTTATCTGTGTGGCTGAGGTGGTTGCTCCAACAGATTTTATTGTAGCTTGCATGATTCTCCTCTGTTCCACAAGGATATATCAATGTAATAAGCCTTTTCATTACCTTGGCTATATCCAAACAGATGAGAAAGCAAAAATTAAATGATGTCTTGCTGTTGTAGAGAAACTCAGAACTAACTTTCTGGAGATATGTCAAATGGCTACCTTTGTCGATCTGGACCTGACTCAGGGAAGCCTGGTGTGTTTATCTGGGATCTCCTACTCTCTGTGTAGAACCCTCTCTGACCATTTCCCCAGTTCTCAATCAAGACAGTCTTGAGCAAATCTGATTTCTGGGATGATCAGATCTGAAGTTCTAAGCATTCACTAAGCACTGCTAAGAGCATTGCATAGCATAATTGAAACCAAACGCTTGCCACAAACAGCCCCATGTTATCTCCTAGATGAACAGATTACTCTAAAATACCAGTTCATGCACTGGCTTCATTGAGATGACCTAGGAAACTTGCTACATGACAGATTCTTACATTGTATTGCCCAATATTTTGCCTCAGTCTGTTTGATAGTCAGCTAAGTTTGCCAGGTTTGGGAACCCCAGTTTTATACCTCAAGTTAGAAGTCACTCTAGAAACATCCCTTCAGCCCTCATTTGGTGAAGTCACTTTCACCTTGTCCAGCTTACTCTGGTGCTGTTTACCTAATTTTCAAGGACAGGAATTATGCTACTTTGTTATATCTAAGTGGAAGAGAAATAGAAGCCCCAGTAGCAGTCTATTGAGTTATTCACACAAAATGATCCTCTGAGGCTCATTTTGCAGACACACTGAGATCCAAAGATAGCTATACAGAGGGATTGTTGGCATAAGGCCATCAGCTACACCAATGTGCACACATAAATGCATATACATATACACTCACTATCACTGCTCTGTCTCTGAGAGCCAAGCTTTTGGCCAAGGCTGTTATGAATGGTTGCTCAGACTGTATGCTGAATAGTTCTGGACACCATTTCATAGGCTGCAATGTGAATGGTCCTCCAGCAGTTGTGCAATGTGGTGGGCCTTGGAAAAATTTAGTTTTTATTTTCAAAACAGGAAGGTGCCTACTACTGAGGAAGCAAACTCGATGTTTGGGATGAAATTTCCACAGGATTATCTTCTTATTACGCAGTTAGGTGTGAAGCTCTGCTCTCAGCACATGCACACGCGTATGCACACACTCTGCTTATTGGAGTTTTCCTTTTCTCCAATCCAGAATGATTTGCTAAAGTTTCCCTCCATACCCCTACACCACAGACAGATTGGGAAATGCCGCAATAAATTAGAAGTGGAGAGTTAAGTCATGGCAAGTGACTCCTCTACTCAAGACTCCTTCAACATTCTGGAACTGTTTAATGTCAATCTTGACTGTCTTTGTCTCCAGGACCCTTTTCTCAAAACCAAGTCCCATGCAATAAAGCACGTTTATTTCATGCAACACAGCTTAGCTAATGCTTATAGTTCCAAATACTCTGGTTTACTAGGTACAACTCAGTCGGGAGTGCCTAGTATAAAGGAACATGCACAGCACAGCGACAGAGAATGCTCATCACCAACACAAGGAAGTAAAGGAGATGCAAAGCTATGGTAGCTAGAGGAGGATTAGCTTTCCTGATTTCAGTTTGAGAAAAGCCACGTGTCTCTACAGTCCACTAGTTTGGCAAGGCATTTGCCCTTGGCTGTGAGATGATGTTACTTTCAAAGTAAGTCATATTAATTTCCAGGCTTGTCCAGGATCAGGGGCTGGAGTCTTCTCTCAATTGTAGTCCTTTCCTTAAAACCAGTTCTAAGCTTTTGCATTTGTTTTATTAACTGATTGAATAGCCCTGGAATATGAGTTTCCTCCAATCTCTTCCACTTTGCAAACTCCAGAACCATTTGACCAATAAGTTAAAACCCAGAGGAGGACTGACTGTGAGCTAAGGCTTCAGACATGCAAAGCGCACAACCCTGGGAAACAGCAGCATCGGGGACAGGAGGCTCCCATTACTTCACATGAGGACGTCATAGGTTTTACAAAGCAAACACACATGGAAAACCAGTAGTGGCGCAAGCTGGACACACTGTCCGGGATACACAGTTAAGTGAGGACCCAGACTAGGGAGCCACCTGTTCCTCTAGCTTGCATACATTTATTTCACACCACCTCAGACCACTCATAGTTTGCTTACCTGCTCATTGTTGCTCTCCCACCATTCCCCATACTCCCTTTGGGGGTGAAACACTCTATTTCCGACTTGTGCTGGGCCAGTCTCCTGTCTTTGTACCTGGTGAGCATGAACAAGGACAGGAGCAAACAGAAAGACGTGATTGTGTGCTTAACTGCCAGGCTGAGGAAGGGCCGTGACTGTGGAGATGGTCACCCTGTGCCAAAATAGGGGTTCCTGTTCTTAATGCAATGATCAACCTGTGATACTTATTAGTTGATTGTGATGGCATATGGACAGACAACATCAGGGTTGATACTGTTACTTTTTGGTTAAAAGACATGTAACCCATCTTTCACACTGCCTATTGAACTGTGAATTTATCACAGTTAATATTCAATGGCAAAAGGAGTGCAATTTTAAGCATCTTAGAAAAAGATGAATATCAATCAATACATTAGAATCTATGCAGTGCTTACCACTATGTTAGAACTTTACCTAAATTGTATTCCGGGAACAGTCCTAGGCCAGAGGCTTTGTTATTGTTTCATTTTACTGATGAAGAAGCCTAAGATTATAGAGGTTAAGTAAATTGATCAAAGATACATAGTAAGTGGTTGGGCTGGATTCCGAATACAGGGAGTCTAAGTTTAGAATCTACACTTTAGCCATTGTTATGTGTTGCCTTCCATTAGCAATTTTTTTCTTTCTGAGACAAAGTCTCACTCTGTTGCCCAGGGTGGATTGCAGCGGCAGCAACTCGGCTCACTGCAACCTCTGCCTCCTGGGTTCTAGCAAGTCTCCTGCCTCAGACTCCTGATTAGCTGGGACTATAGGCACCGGCCACCACACCTAGCTAATTTTTGTATTTTTAGTAGAAACGGTTTTACCATGTTAGCCAGGATGGTCTCAATTTCCTGACTTGTGATCTGCTTGCCTCAGCCTCCCAAAGTGCTGAGATTACAGGCGTGAGCCACAGTACCTGGCCCCATTATCAAGTTTTTAAGCTAATTATTATCTTGAACAAGCCCTCACTGAGTGATACCATTCTAGATGCTGTTAGACGTTGGTAATAACAGAGGTGAGGAGACATGTTCTTTGGATATGAAAAGTTTCATAACCATTAAGCTGAAGTTTGACTATCAGTATTGGGAGGCCTCCATTTTAGAGTGTGGCTCAAACAGCTTTTGCATTGTACTTGGCAGTTCACTGCCCTTGGAAGATACTAGATATTTCATCTAAAATAAGTGATGAGATTCCCAACATTACTCTTCTATGTGGTGCATCAAGATAAGTTCTTATACCTCAATGACAGTTTTTTGAGCCAACATGATTCCACAGAAATCACCTTTTTTATTCATTGGTTCAACTCCATGAGATTGTTAAAAGAGAGCTGATATTTCTGTTTGCCAAATAAGAAAGCTAGTTTTACTTAACTGACTTCATGAAACTCACATGCCTCATCAGTAGAGAATATCACCAGTAGAGCTTGCAGGGGCTCAAGACTCTTAAGGCTTTATTACCTTTTTGCTAATTAAGCCAGAGCCTGGTACGATACCACTTCATTCACTTTCCCAGTATCCAATAGGCAGTGATAAAGGGAGTTACTAGATGATACTTGTTCACCTCAGTACAGTCAAAATCTTTTGTTTCTTTTCCTGCTGTTTCAAAAGTAGTATAAAATGAAACAAATTTAACAAAGTCAAGATCATTACTGATCCTGGGGCAAAGGCCTTCCTCTTCATTTTTTTCCCTTTCAAAATGTTTAAAGTATCTAATATTTGAAGAAAAATGGCTTATTACATCAAGCCAAATGAATTTAATGGATTACCTATTTAGCAGACATTAGTTGAGCATTCATTAAATCCTAGGTAATGGATTTCGCACTACAGATATAAAGATAAATAATCTGCAGATCCTGCCTGATAGAACTTACTTAACAATAGGAGAAGGAGAAAAGAAGAACTATGTACAAAAGTTAGACATCTTTAAATGTAGGCATAAAGAAGCAAGGAAAAGAACTTAGGGACTTTGTCAAAGGAGGTAAAGCATCAGACCAAGCTAGATAGAGTAGACTTAATTTTACCAAAGAAAATACCTTAGAAGTAGCAATGGTTTGCAACATGGCAATGATGCCCCACATTTCAATGCAAAGTATTTTGTGCTTATTTGTGAATTCAATTATTCAACTAAAATACTGCTCTACAGCTTGAAAGAATATTGATAGAATAGTAAATTATTGGTGGTCATTCAGTTCCTTACAAAGGGACCCTTAACATATTTTTGAATATCTTCTGTTAGGTTAATTGTGAATTAATTATTAAATATTTCACAAATGAATTAAGAAACGTACAGTCTTCATGCTTGTAAGCTCTTCTCTCTCTTTTGCTTTCTCTCATGACCACAGACATACTCTTCCAGGTGACCTCTGTTTATAAAACATGTAATAGATTCTAAGAATCCTATTCTATCAATCTCTAACCTCTGTGAAGAAAAAGGAATCCTTATACACTGCTGATGGGAATGGAAATGGTTCGGCCACTGTGGAAAGCAGCTTGGTAATTTCTCAAAGAACTTAAAACAGAGCTACCATTTGACCCAGAAATCCCTTTACAGGACATATAAGTAAAGGGATAAAAGTCTTTCTACCATAAAGACACATCTATGTGTATGTTCACTGCAGCACTATTCACTATAACAAAGTCATGGAATCAGTCTAAATTACCATCAATGATAGACTGGATAATGAAAATGTGGTCCATATGCATCATAGAATACTACACAGTCATAAAGGGAATGAGATCACATCCTTTACAGTAACATGGATGGCACAGGAGGGCATTATCCTAACCAAACTAATGCAGGAACAGAAAATGAAGTACTTCATGTTTTCATTTATAAATGGAAGCTAAACTCTGAGTATGCATGGACACCAAGGGAACAATAGACACTGGGGCCATCTTGAGGGTGGAAGGTGGGAGGACAGTGAGGATCAAAAAACTATCAGGTACAATACTTATTACCTGGATGATGAAATAATCTGCACATTATACCTCTGTGACACATAACTTACCTATAAAACAAACCTGCACATGTACCCCTGAACCTAGGAGATTAGAAAAACAATAGAAACAAGACAAAAACCAGAAACAAAAGCTAATTGTTTTTAGTAAAGGTTTTCACTGACATACAAAAAACAACAAAATAATGAAAATACAAAACAATATCAAAGCTCATGTTAAAAATGCAAGCTGAAAATGGCATTAATACAGAATGGGAAACTCATCTTTGCTTTCTTATAGGACCCTTCTTTCCTGTCTGTAACTTTAATTTTATTCACCAGATATTTAAATAGATCACATTTGTATTCATTCACTTATTATCTCATTTACTTGCTCATTATCCCATTCAGCAATAATGTGCTGCTTAAAGTTGCTGATAGCTTTGATAGTCTCTACTGTTGAGTTTAAAAACTCAACATTTTTTCCAGTTGAGTTTACTTTAGAAATATTGAATTGTCAATTAAAAATAATTTAAGCTTTTCAGAACTTATAGTTCATGAAATATCAATTTAAAAATATCATTTCTTTTACATAATAAATTTATATATCTTTTAGACACTAAAACACACATCCACTTATTCTTGTGAGGCACTGTTTTAAGTGCTTTGCAAGTATTAACTTTTCAAATGAAATATTTAACATACTATAGTTATATTCAAAGTTATGATATAAAGTAGTAATGACAAAATATTGAGCATGCCAGGCTGTTTTCTGCACACTACTGCAAATTATTAAAACATCCACACAAAGCAGGTGCTATTATATTCATTCTGAAAAGACAGACACTGAGGATCAGTGTCAGTAAGCCCAAGCTCATGTGATTTACGATCAGGGAACGCAAGGTGAAAAATCAGGTTTCTCTGATTCTAAAGCTCATGCTATTTCTGTTCATTTTTCCGATAAGTGACAATGTTAGTATATTTAAAAACAAAATTACAAAAGCTCATATTTACCTTTTCTCTTCTTGACCCCATGTTGCAAATAATTAGCAGAGTTATCAAGGACAGCCAGAAGAAGATCTGGTGATAGGACGTTAAATTTTCTTCCTTCATTTAGGTCTCTATACCTGTACCATGCAGGTTTAGTTTACATCATTCAAAACCATTTACTAAATAGTCCATGTGCTGGGCACTGTGATAAGGAGCACATGGGTGACTATGTTGTTGATAAGGTCACAGTCTTGAGTGAGAAGATAAAATGTAAACAGATAATTTCCAAACAATGTAAGAAGTTTTTTTATAGAAACAAACACAAGAAGGGCTACTTAACCCATACTAGATTGGCGGAGAACACTTCAGTGAGATATGATACCTAAGACAAATCTGAATAATTGAGTAAACATGCACTGTGAAACGATGAGTAGGGGTAGAAGAGAAAATCAAGTGCAAACATGTAAGGAGACTTAGATGTATTATGTATACTGGGAAACACTGTTGAGTAATTTTTATTGTAATAAGTATAAAATAGGAGGTCTCTGGGAAAGCAGATGGAGAAATATATAAAAATGATGAATTTACTTGTTGATTATGAGATGTCATTGTGGAATCTTTATACTAGATAAAACAGGATCAGCGTTGACATTTAGATAAAATGCAATGGACTTGAAGGAACAAAACTAGAGATAAATACCACTACAATTATGCATGTGAGACATGATAAGCTAATGATTAGGGAAGTGATAATACAGAAGAAAAATAGAGTACAGTCTCAAGACAGAAAGCAAAAATGAGTAGGATTTATTGAATTATGAGCATAATAGGGAGAAGTATGGGATGCTACTCCAGGTACTGTGTTGGATGGTACAATTAACTGAGTCAAGAAAATACAAGAGAAGAAGTATATTTGGAGAAGGAAATAAAAAGCTTCATTTTGGAATATGTGGTTTGAGATGGTGGTGGGACATCCAAGTGGACATATTCAGTAGACACATGAGTATAAACATTTGGAGGTTAGAGGATTGTTATGCACAGGGAAACTGTCAGCATACTGGTGGTTGCAAATACTGTGAGAATTGTTGAAAATATTCAGAACAGGTAAACTATGTAGACAGTGGAAAGA